ACACACACACACACACACACACACACACACACACACACACAAGTTAAGGTATGCTCAACACAGTGTCAAAAGGTGGTACCTGGTATCTGATGATAATAAATAAATGTACACAGTGTGGTAAAGTGCACATACAATATATCAATAACAAAACTAGTGCACTGTATTTGCAGACTGGATACAAATCAGTGATTATTCTGGGCTATGACACTCAAGAATTAAATTGGGATTTATGTTTCAACCGTCAATGATAATTAAGAGCTTTGTGTAATCATAGAAAGAAAAGCGCACATGTTTGCATTACCAAATTAGCTGCATCAGATTCCCAGTATCTAGTTGGTATGACTTGTTTCATTCATGCTTCAGAATCATTTTCAGTTGCAGTTATTTATGATTCAGTGGTACTACCCTAGTAGTACCACTGAATTATGAATTATGTTACACATGACATTATGTTTTTTCATATTGTGAAATGTGATGCTAAACAAACTGAGGTAGACTAACTGTTATTTGCTGTACTGTGATGGCTTTAAAGTAAATAACACTGTTGAATTGCACAGAGGCCATCCAGTAAAATATTAGTATAAGCAGTAAATCAGCCAACAACTTGTAAAACATCAGCTGACATCTGGTTGAATTCAGGTGTGTAAATCTACAAAGAGCAGCAGGTCAGCTGATCACAGCCTGTACACTAAGAAAATCCACTGGAGCTGTCAATAAAAATTATTCTGAGTTGTGATTTTTTTCCCCCCATAATGAGCCATTACAACTGATTTCAGGATTCCCCCACCTAAATCCTACTTTAACCCCTGACTGTACTTGTTTTCGTGTTTAATGGCAAAGTCACCCTCTACAACAGCGGTCCCCAACCTTTTTTGCGCCATGGACCAGTTTATGCCCGACAATATTTTCACGGACCGGCCCTTAAGGTGTCGCGGATAAATACAACAAAATAAAACTAGTACCGGTACCGAAAAAAAGAAGATTTATTCATAACACACGTGAAAAGACCCAGGAAAACCGAGTTAACAAAGAAAAAAAAAACCCCCGATAACAAAATAATGCTAAAAACCAATAAAAACACTGAAAACCATACATTTCACACCCGAGTCTCACTCTTGCGGCCCGGTACCAAATGACTCACGGACCGGTACCGGTCTGTGGCCCGGGGGTTGGCGACCGCTGCTCTACAATGTAGGCAACAGAAAAAAGATACATGCATATTTACATACTTCAAATTTATGTAAGTGACTGTGCATTGGGCTTGTAATGCTTTTTTCAAGGTGTAAGAAACGTACACTTGCCTGAATGCAGACTGCACTGGAACTAGTGCCTACACTACAATTTAAACATCATTACATTGTTATTACATTGTTATCCTTAGCTTAAATTAAATTCAAATTTTTTAATTCAATTTTATTTATATAGCTACAAATCACAACAATAGTTGCCTCAAGGTGCTTTATATAGTAAGGTAAAGACCCTACAATAATACAAAAAGCTTCATATTCTTATAGTATTTGTGTGTGTGTGTGAGTGTGTGTGTGTGGAGAGAGCGAGAGAGCAAGACAAAGAGAGAGAGAGTGCAAAGTGTTAGAACTTACCCTGATCCACAGTTTCTAGTTTATTTGTATCCAGCACAACTGCGTAGTCACGATCATCTTTATGAGAGAAAAAAAACAAAATATGGTAACTAAATATGGTAGTTATACAATTAATTTTAAAAAGACAATGGGCCACAGATGGAAAGAATTGCGAAAAATGACTAAAAATCTTAAATTAGCATAGATTTTATTCTACAAAAAACAACAAATGCTAAGTTAACAATTTGGATTAGAGATGGTTAGTATGAACAATATTTGATGTCGCTGTACCTGTGGATTGTCCCAGATGCATCACAGAATTCATATGGCTTGGACTGACATTAATGGGTACATTTGCCTCAGGGGGAATATGTTGGAACAGCTCTTCAGAACCCATCTCCATGCAGTTCATGTAAGGGATAGCATGTCTGCTTTCCATGTAATACATTATATAGAAGTTGCACATTTCATCATCAGAAGTACCGCTGTATTAAAAAAAGATAGATACCTGGTATTGATTTCTCGCCTAGTTAGTATATGCAAATAATGTTTGTGTAAATAGTTTTATGTTGTAAGTGTAACATTAAGACCTTGTCTACAAACTTCTCAACATAGAGTACTATATTTCAGCAGCTATCCCTCTATAAATTAGCAATAATCACTGACAATTGAGGACTAGCATATTTATTTTAAATGACTAACTGTCACAGTTGGACACAATTTATTAATATCAACTACCAGCACAAGAAATACAAGATCCTTATCGGGGTCACAGGCCGGCACGAGCCTATCCCAGCTAACATTGCGCAAAAGGCAGGACAGTACAGGGCACTTAGAACTAGCCTTTTTTAATCATCTTACAATTTGTAAATGTCAGATGAAATCAAAACTAAAATGTGAAAGAAATAAGATGGTTGCATCTTAAGAGCTTTAGTCCATGTTAAGAAATTAGCATTACTGGGCCTTCATTCATTTCAATAAGGCAAGTGCAATTACTGGGCAATCGTGGCTCAAGAGTTGGGAGTTCGCCTTGTAATCGGAAGGCTGCCGGTTCGAGCCCCGGCTTGGACAGTCTCGGTCGTTGTGTCCTTGGGCAAGACACTTCACCCATTGCCTACTGGTGGTGGTCAGAGGGCCC